ATACCAAAGAGCGACCGTTTTCGCTACCTAGGATCTATCTTGAAAAAGAACGGAGAATTAGATGGAGATCTCAACCATAGAATACAAGCTGGATGGATGAAGTGAAAGAGTGCATCCGGCGTGTTGTGTGACCGTCGTAGGCCACTGAAGCTCAAGGGAAAATTTTATAGGACGGCACGGCGATGTTGTGTATGGCACAGAGTGTTGGGCGGTGAAGCATCAACGCGTACACAAAATGGGTGTAGCAGAGATGAGGATGCTTCATTGGATGTGTGGGCACACGAGAAAGGATAAAATTAGGAATGAGGATATCCGAGGTAAATTAGGAGTAGCCGAAATTGAAGGAAAGATGAGAGAAAATCGGTTACGGTGATTTGGACATGTGCAAAGAAGGCCTATTGACGTTCCGGTTCGAAGATGTGACTACGGGACAGAGGTTCATGGCCGAAAGGGTAGAGGAAGACCTAGGAAAACTTTGGAAGAGATCCTAAGAAAAGATTTGGAGTACTTGGATCTAACGGAGGACATGACACAAAACCGAACGCAATGGCGTTTTAGGATTCATAGAGCCGACCCCACTTAGTGGGAAAAGGCTTTGTTGTTGTATATATAATTGGAGCAGTTTCTCCCATATATGATTTTCCACAAGCACAATAACTCACGTTCACGCCCACTGCACATACACACGGACCGATACACTGGTAAATGTATACCCTTTCCATTGGATTCACAAATTTGTTTGAGCACTCAATGTTATAGTGTCATGCTATCCATTTCTGGTGTTATTTGTTCGACAATCTCATTAAGCCTGCTTTTTGTTTTTAATAATTGGTTGTTTATTTATTCTTTCTGCTAAATTTTTATTAGCTCTGTATTTCCTTTGCAGGGTCGATATGAGATTATTTCCCTGTCAGGTTCCTACTTGTTTTCTGAAAATAATGGGAATCGCAGCAGAAGTGGTGGTTTGAGTGTATCCTTAGCAGGGTCTGATGGTCAAGTTTTGGGAGGTGGAGTTGCTGGCATGCTAATGGCAGCATCACCAGTACAGGTACCATTCTGCTATTATTTGCTCAGCGTATCTGTTATATGAAATTATGACTGTTCACCTTCTGTGCTTGTAAAGGACATTCAGGGCGAGAACCTTTTCAAGTTAAAAAATATAACCCTGTTATTCGAGCTCAATTTGAATTTTAACTGCAGGTGATTGTGGGTAGTTTCATTGCCGACGGGAAGAAATCCAACCCCAACTTGGTAAAGTCGGGAACTTCCTCTCCCCCAGCATCACAAATGTTGAACTTTGGTGCGCCAATGACAGCAGCCAGCCCGTCCTCTCAAGGAGGAGGGTCAAGCGAGTCGTCTGACGAGAATGGCAGCAGTCCTCTCAACAACAGCAACAGGGGACCTGTGCTCTACAGTAATGCAAATCAACCCATTCATAATATGCAGATGTATCAATTATGGGGTCAAGCTCAACAATGAAGAAGACGATGATACTTCCTAGCCGGTTACAAGTACAGTAACCGCATTTGACTGATTGCGTTCTTATTTCAAATGCCGATTGAAATCCTCCATTGTCCGATCCGAAGCAACTCCGAGTCTGGGGGGCTTATTTAGTTCTAGATTATTGAGTTTTTTGTTTTATGGTAGTTTAACATTTTTTTCTTCGTCTCTCTCCCTCTCTACATATGATTGAAACATGGCTATTGCTTATTGCTGAGAATACGCCGCCTGTTCTTTACTTTCTCGTGAGTTGAAAATTGCGTTTAAATTTTTTTTTTTTACCTTTGTGTTTCGAGTATCAAATTTCATTGGTTCCAAACTTGCGTGAAATCTTATTACAGCTTTTCCGGTCGTCTCGTGTCATGGAATCTGCCTTGCCCCCTATTGTATTTTCTTCTGCTTACAGCAACTCGGGCCTGTTTTTGACTCTCAAAGTCACCTGGGCTATGTTCGTGAGGAATTTTTAGGATTTGTTTGGTATCTATTTAGAAGTTTTAATCATTTTTTTAAGAACATTTCTTGAAAACAATTTTTTTAAGACTAAAAAATTTATTTGGTTTTGAGTTTTAAAATTATTTTTAAATCATAAAATTTATACTGGACATTACTTTAGTCTAAAGAAAGGAAAGGTTTGGAATTGGCACTGTAGAAATGATAGTGGTTAATTTCAGATTAATTACAACCATACCATTGGTGTTTCCGTTGTTTTTGGGCCAGCAGCCAGGCCCAAATGTGTCGGCTTCAGCTGGGAAGCCCGGCCCTCAGTAAGGCCCAAAAATTTTTAATTACGTTTTTGCCCATCACAGATTACAATCTAATGGTGGGCATGGTTTATTATGAAGGGCAATTTTGTGCTCCGATTTGGGCGAGATGGGGGGTCAGCGACTCAGCTATCATTTGGTCCTGTTCGATTAGGGTTTCGGGGAGGGCCTGCGAGAGAGAGAGAGAGAGAGAGAGAGATAGAGGCACAGAGACAGAGGGAGAGATGGCGATGGAAGGAGAACGAGCGGGAGGGGTAGGGGTCTCGGCACTGTTGATGCAGATAGGATGGTGGGTATGGTCAGAGAAGACCATATGGGTCGTCGGGATTTCAGGGAGACGGGGTAGGGGACATCGACAAACCCTACTGAGGGTGGGGTGTGCCGGATCTTGCGCTGCATGCCCGAAATCCAAAGATAAGTTTCTTTTTAAAATTGTATTCTTAAATGTTGCCTTGGATTTTCTGATTGTTTAGTATGTTAGGTCCGGTTTTGGGGGATTTTTGATTTTCTAGAGAGAGACGGATAGGGGGATGCATTTTTTGGGATTAATTAATGGGTTAGTGCACAGGGTCAGTGAGGAGAGAGTCACAGAGGGGTATATGGCAGGGTATGAGTTTTCGGTTTTTCCTTCTGATTTAATAGGTTATGCACTGTTTCAAACTAATTGTTTATTGTTTTGTTTTCCTTTTGCTTTATTAGAACCATAATTCGATTTTTGGGTTTCACTTTGCTCATTTATGTGCTTCTTCAAAATTTTCTGGTGTTTGCTTCTCATTCCTCTGTTGGTTGATCTTTTTTTTCCCATCTCTTGGTTCCTTATATATTCCTTGGTTCTGTCTAATTTTTGGTTGTGGGCTGATGCTTGCAGGTGAACTATGTGCACGGTTTTTTGGACGAGTTAGGAAGATCCACATGAACTGGTTTGCTGCTTTGTCTTTCTGTTGGATTTTAATGTTTATGTTCTGCTGCTCATAGGATTTTAAAATTCTAAATCTGTTTTGTAAATGTGCTTAAAGATTGAACGTGTTCTTGAGTATTAGGCATGTTGTTTGGATTGAATAGGATTCCACAGTGTAAACTCAGAAACTTATGCTAAGAAAATTCTTTTTTTTTTTTTGGGTCTCTTATCTGGGGTTGATTCCTTTGTTATGAAAAAAGGAGTCGCTGTCAGAACAACAAGGATAGAGGGGTAGTGGGTGAAGGGTGAAGGGAAAAGGGTAGGGAAGATGATGCACATGGAGTGTTGGGTCGTCACTTATTAAACAATAACAATGCATAAAAATTCATAATTCATTGCAAGAGGAGACAAGTAGGCTTAACACTAGACTAAAAGCCAGAGCGCCAGGCAATCCAAATCAAATACAAATACACAATCCAATGCAATACAATACAATCTGCTTTGCCTGGTTACAGGCGACAAAGACTGATACCCACCTGAACAATCTCTGTCATTATTCATTAGTACGACATTAGAACGGATTTAGAACCTGAACAATCTCTGTCTTCAGAGGAGCAAATTATTGTTTTTCAGTTTGATTTATAGTTTTGTTTAACTAGGAATGTAGTGAAAATTAAAATGAACAGAAAAGGGTTAGTGAGAAAATGACAAGTTTTCTTTGTGTTTATTACAAAATTAGTAAGTTGAAATTTGTGAGAGTATATTGCTTCTTGGAGCAGGTATTGTTTCGAGAGTGTGAATCCCATGTCGGGAATTGAAGTGTTATGTAAATAGTTTGAATGATCTCGGGCATTTCCACCCGTTGCCAATTGGTTTCGGGTTGGATGCTCGAATTGTAATAGAATAAAAGGTATTGTTGTTTTTTTATTATCTTTCATTGATTGAGTGGGGAATATAATTTTTATACAAATTGCTTCCTGATGGTGTTTATGACTGGTTTCTGTATTTACTTTTAATGCTTAGTATATTAATGGCATTGCGTACTTCCTAAGTTTTCATGGTCATATGTTTCTATGGTTCTGTATGTATGTGTGTAATCTTCATCCCGACTTTGAATGCATAAACAAGCTGGATGAAGAGGTTTTGTTGTTATTGCCTTGCCCAAAACAAGGATTTCATTGAGGGCTAAATAGATTTCTTTTAACTGGGTTCTTATGTCATTGGGGAAGGTTAGAGTTCTTTATCCTTTTTCGTATTTCAGTCAATTGATGTATCTTTCGACATCTGTGCTAAGTACTTCATGAAAATGGATTTATGTTGTCTAAATAGTTGTGTTTCAGTTGCCTTTTGTGAGCCTCTTCCTTCCTGTCTGATATATAGGACATTAGTTGGTTGCTTTATGTTTGTATATTCTCGCGTTTTCCAATTACAGTGTTGAACTCAGTGAAATGCTATTATGAATTGGAGTGGTTCCTATTGTCTTTGAGTGATTCTTATCACAACAATCAGGGAGAAAATCCCTCTCTTTTTTTTTTTACTCTAGGTCTAGGATTATCCAAATGATGCAGCACTAAACAAGAGTTAGGACTTCAACTCAGTATCGCAAAAACTTACTACCAATAGAAAGTTTGTAAGCACTTATATTCCGACTCAGATCCTTACCGAATTTTTTTTGAAAGTTGAAACGATATAGCACTAGGCCCAAGGTTGAGACCAAGTTAGATTTTATTTTATTTTATGCCTTTCCTAACTTTGAATATTTCTTAAGAACCAGAATGTAGTTTTCGATTTTAGAATATTCTCATTTAGCTTGCTAAAAATATTTAGGGAACTAAGTTTATATGGTGCTCTCATCTCTGTGATGCGGAGCTGATCAAATTTTATGACTAATTAAATTATTGTTTGCTTGCAAAGATGTCATTAACTTTCAATTGGCTTTTGCAGTACGTTTGGGACCAAGCTGAATTTGATATCATTAAGCTCAAGACAATAATATGCTTATACCTATGATTATAGATGCGGATGCGGTAACAGTGGTCAGAAATCGAGTTTGAATTGTCCTCTATATTCAAGAATACGAGTATGAATCATCCTCTATATTTGCTTCATTTTCAGCTTAATGTTTATCTTAGTCTTTGCTTATTTATATGATGAAAACATAATCTATAGTTATATTTTCGCTCCCGCAAAGTGTATGCTAAAATTATATTGATATAGACCGATGTTCATGATACGAGGAATACATTCATGTAGAGTTTCTATTGGCATGAAGTTTTGAAGATAACAAATTGCGTGAGAAATAAGGGTTGGCACAGATGGGTAGGGCATTGGTTTTTGAGATCTTGGACAAACCAGCCACAAGTTGTTTCATAGGAATATGCGGTGCAATTTGTTTCTACATACAGAAGAAAAACATTGGCTATTTACATGTGGGCTTGAGTTATGAAACTGCGGTTGCAGGGCACCATTGGAGGATTATAACTTTAGCTTTCTCTCATATAAGCATGAAGGCCGTGTCGAAGCTGGTAAATAAAGATTCCTCAGTGCATCAGGTAACTTCTACACTGTTTTCCCAAAATTAGATCGTTTCTAATTCTGATCTGTGTTCTTCAATCATGTTGGCTTCATCTGTTTTTAATTGTTGGGGCAGGTTCTTGACTATTTTCAGCACTTCAGAGGCTGGTTCGACATTCCGTTGTTTGTGAGGTCGCCATGAAGAAGCCTGACTCTGCTGTGAAGAGAGCTTGGCAGGCCGAAAAGAGGAGGATTTACAACAAATCCCAGAAATCTGAAATCAAAACCCGGATGAAGAAGGTACTTCTCTTTCGGGCAAGTTCATTTGATTTTAACTGAGGGTTTTGCTTCTTTTGGCATGCATTGTATATAAAATAAGTTTATTCTGACTGTTGTCTTAGGTAAGGGGAATAGCAGTCTTGAGTAGATTGCTGAAAAGTAACCCACTGCTAGCTTTCCTTTTTGTAAATTAGTTTGTGAGACTATCAGTTAAAAACTCATTTCAAAAAAGAGAGATTTTTTGCTTTTCATATTTTCTTTGAATATGCATGTTGGATATGGTGTGCATTGTCTTACTGTATATTGGTGTAGGTCATGATGTCATTCCACGAGTGTGGAGGCGATGTCGGGGATGATGTACATATCCCACTTTCTCACCGGGTGACAGAAATTGGCCAAAAGAATCCTGATATATATTTTACTAATAAAGAAGGGAAACGCAACACTGAACGTCTCACTTGGGGAATTGACAAAGAGCGGGTTTTAAGAGGCCACACTGCTGTTGAGGTATTGTTCGTGGTTGAAATTTCCCGTGGGGGATGCTTCCTGTCCGACGAGCACACAGCTCCCCGAGAGGTTCGGCGCCAGTTGATGCTTTTCTGTCGGGCTCCTGCTTTATTGGCGGGCTTGTCGGGCAAGGCTGAAAGAGAAGGACAGAGTTAACTTTGAAAGGTACCTTCGTGAGGCCTTAGGTGTAGGCCTTGAGGCTCACGATCAAGATTAACCTATAAGTGTTCAGGCGTGCCACTGCCATCTTCAGTATGGCAGATGTAGAACGGATGTTTGAGTTTAATTATATATTCGAAAGACCATGTTAGTTATTGACAAGTGTCTTTGTGGGGCCTTAGGTGTAGGCCTTGAGGCTTCCCATTAATAACTAACTTAATATTTGAACATATAAGGTTCCTTTTATTGGTTATGTAGATCTTATAACCATCATACTTCTGATTACCCGAACTTAAAGAGCAGAATGGATCCAAATAGGTGCCTTTATGGGCCTTGAATAGGCCTTGAGGCTTCCCATTAGAACCCCTTCCATTCTCAATGTTCTTGCCCGAGAAACAGGATGAATCCAAATAGGTGCCTTTGTGGGGCCTTAGGTGTAGGCCTTGAGGCTTCCCATCAGAATTCATCCCGTCCCCGAACGTTATATGGTAATCATGATATCACAGCAATAAAACTAAGTGACAGGTCAATTACTTGCGCCCCAAGTAACTTCGGACTTCTTGTTATCAAAGCTTGTAGTGGATGGGTTAAGTCCACATCAGGTTCTTTTTTATGCCTTGAGGCCAAGGACTTTTAGGGTGATCAAATCTTATATGCCCGAGGGCTTAGCACTTAGATCTGACTTGAACTGTGGAGACATATTCAAATCGGATCTAAGCACTGAGAGAATCTTTTGATAGCCATATTACTAGAAATAACTTGGATATAACTTGTAGTATACAACATATTGCTAGGCTAATGAATACACAGACAAAAACAAAGAGGGTCGGGCAAGGTTTAACCTTGTCGGGCAAGGCTGATCGTCTTGCAAGAGGTTTGAAAGCTTCGAAAAATGGTAGGGAGATGAGTTTACAGGAGGAATCGATACTACAGCAAGAGTTGATCAGGGTAGCAGAGCTATTACAAAAGGTTTATCCCAAAAGGGATGAAGGCTTGGGCTGACTACATCTTCGTTTTGAAGGCAAATCTGGCTTTGAGCAGAGTTTGTGCTTGTATTTGTTTGTTTGAGTGTCCTTGATTCTGACCTCTCCTGCTCCTTTTATAGACACCTTGGCTTGGCACCCTGTAGCAACAATCTTGCCCGAATGCAATTTGAAGGGTAGTGACTCATCATCCATTTTACTTGCACTGCCATATAAAAGTACTTTTTTGGGCTGGATAGCTGGCTGGTCTATACCACTTGGCCTTTAGGTAGGTAAGCAAGTGGTCTGCATGGTCTGCACCTAGTCAGAAACAGGCTTCTCTTATCTTCTGGACTTCGGCTAGGTTTTGACTGGGCCTCCGAGTACCTTTCCCCTTTAGGCTGCTCTTTGGGCCAACTTCCCCCAAGCCCAAAGTTTTAAGTTTTGATCCAAACAGTGCCCCCCTTCAATTGATATTTAGCCTTGAATTTCAGGCGCCAATATTAATTGAATAGCTGCATGCATCTGCACCCTTGCTCTCAGAATTTGTATCTTTTGATTGAGATTGATATCACCCGGAGTCTCTTGATCTTCCCACGACCCTTGAACTGCCTTCTGGCATTCCTATAAATTCTGGTTCTCCCACAGATCATCCTCAATCTTATCTTTTATCCGCTTCAAGTTTTTCTCCAAAAACTGTGAAATGAGTTCTTCAGAGTTTAAGTGGGGTTTCTTAAAACTCCCTTTTCGTGAGAAAAAGAGTCATCACCAGACAACTACTATCCCCAACACCTTTGGTCGATCACCCTGCTATTTCCAACACCCTTGGTCAGGCGGTTCCCTCATGATGGCTTGCCTTCCTGCTTGCCGTCGTGATAAATCAGGCTTCACCATCACACGTGGTGGTAATTCTACATGAGGATCTCCTACCAGGCACGTGTTGGCCGCACAACCCGATCACCTGATCCGGTCCTATCCAGGGAGACATCGGAAAACCAGTTGAAAACAACATTGTATTCAGAAGGAATCGAATGTAGTACTTCGGTCCTTAGATCTTTTTGTAAATATCACCAATTTGTCGAAATAAAATAAACATTTGTTTTTAGCAACTTTTTGTTTTTCTGTCTTCTTGAATGGTTGATGATCATACCCTGTACTTTGATATTCTGATATCTACTCTACCTTGCATCCTCTTCAATGTAACAATCTCTAACATCCCATAATGTAGGACAATACTTTTTCAAGAATTTAACATTAATGGGATGTTTCTGCTCCTTCCCTTCAAGGTCTGCCAAGTAGTATCCCCCTTTGCTCAACACTTGAATAACAGTGAAAGGACCTTCCCATGTCGGGCTCCACTTTCCAAAGCCCCTAAGCTGAGCTCCTAGAGGGAGGATTGTCTTCCATACTAAATCTTCCTCTTTAAAAGACTTCATCTTCACCTTCTTGTTATAAGCTCGGGCAACAACTTTCTTTCCTTCTTGAATCTGATTCAAGGCTTCAATTCGGGCTATATCTAAGTCTTCAATTCCTTGACACATGGCTTCGATATATTCCTCGCTGTGTAACCCAAACTGATTTTGAATTCTGACAAAACTTACGTTGATCTCCATGGGAAGTACTGCATCTTGCCCGAAGGTTAAAGCATAAGGAGTTGTCCCTGTTCCTGCCCTCTTGGAAGTTCTATATGCCCACAAAGTGTTTCCCAGCTTTTCATGCCAATTTTTCGGACTCTCAATCACCATTTTTTTAATAATGTTTACCAAAATCTTGTTACTGGATTCTGCTTGGCCATTTGACTGTGGGTAGTAAGGACTGGACTGGACCATCTTTATTTTGTATTTACTTGCAAATTCTTCAACTTCCTTTGAAATGAAAGATGGCCCTCGATCAGTCACAATAGTTTCGGGTACCCCAAATCTGTACAGAATCTTGGTCTCAATGAAATTCTTGACTGTGGCTGAGGTTATGGACTTTACTGCTGATGCTTCCACCCATTTGGTGAAGTAATCCGTTGCCACAATTATGAAAATGTGCCCCTTACTAGAAGCTGGATATATCTGCCCGACGAAGTCCATCGCCCATCCTCGGAAAGGCCATGGCTTGACTACTGGATTCAAAGGTACAGAGGGTACATGTTGGAGATGACCGTGCCTTTGACATTCTTCACACCCTCGGGCATAGAACTTGCAATCTTTTTCCATGTCGGGCCAGAAATATCCATACCTTCTGAGCAGCCACCTTATCTTTGTTCCGGCCTGATGTGCTCCACATACTCCTTCATGTACTTCGGCCATCACTCTCATGGATTCCTCTTGGCCTAAGCATTTCAATAATAACCCGTCTAGAGTCTTCCTTAGCAGGTCTTTCGCCCACAAGACATACTTAGTTCCTTGTTGTCGGTTCTTCTTGCTGGTAGGTGAAGAGGGATCCTTCAAATGATGGATGATGGGCGATCTCCAATCTTCTACCTTGGTTTCCCGAACCATTACATCCAGGCTGAATCCTCTTTCCAGGATAGAAGGAAGATTTCTCCTTTGAATCTCGAATCCAACCCATATCTTCTCTCCTGTACTGGTATACCTGAGGCTAATTGCGCCATCTCATTGGCTGCTAAGTTGGTTCCCCGGGGAACATGACTCACCGATATCTCAGAATCCCAATATCTCAGCAACTGCGTGGCCGCCAAATAATATCCGGCCATGGCGATATGTCTGCATTTGAGCTCCCCATTTAGCTGGTTTATCATCAATTCTGAATCACCAAACACCTCAACTTCCCTTGCCCCCAGCTCCATCAAGATTTCCAAACCAATTATTAAGGCCTCGTACTCTGCCCGATTGTTGGTATTCCCTTGATAGTCTAAGAGAAATGAGTAATAATGATAAATTCCCTAAGGTTTGATAATCACAATCCTAGCTCCTGAAGCCTTTTGAGTATAAGAACCATCAAAATACAGCTTCCAATGAGTAATCCACAAACCAGCCACTCTTCTTATCTCCTGCTGGATCCACTCCTCCTTGCCCGATATCCCTTTGCCTGGCGGGATCCAAACATTAATAACTTCCAGGGTTCCTGGTATATTGATTATCTCATCTCGAGATTCTTGATGCTCTGCCAAGAAGTCAGCAATTGCTTGGCCTTTTACTGCCCTTTGGGGAACATACTGGAAGCTGAACTCTGATAATGCTAGAATCCATTTCCCGATCCTCCCTGTTAACATTGGTTTTGACAACATGTACTTTATCACATCTGTCTTGGCGATGATGTGTACGTGACAAGGTAACATGTAATGCCTCAGCTTATTGGTAGTAAAATACAGAGTTAGGCACAATCTCTCTACTGGGGAATATCTTGTTTCTACCTCGGTTAGAATTCTACTGAGGTAGTACATTGCCTGCTCTTTCCCGCCTTCGTTGTTCTGAGCCAGCAAACTCCCAATCGATTTATCTGAAGCAGAGATATATAGTTTTAAGGGTTTTCCCCTCTGAGGTGGTACCAATACCGGTGGAGAAGTCAAATAAGCTTTGATACTATCGAAAGCCTCTTGGTGTGGTGGTCCCCACTCAAAATTCTCCTTATCCTTCAGTCTTAACAAAGGAGTCAGTGGCTGGATCTTGCCCGCCAAGTTGGCAATGAATCTTCTTAAGAAATTAATTTTTCCCAGCAGCCTCTGAAGTTGCACTTTGTTGGTGGGTGAAGGTGACTCCATTATTGCCCGAGCTTTATTCTTGTCCACTTCTACCCCTCGTTGATGAACCAGGAATCCCAAGAAATTGCCCGCTCTTATTCCAAACGCACACTTCTTTGGATTCATCTTCAATTTGTGGACCCTCATTCTTGTTAAGGCCTGCCTGAGGTCTATCAGATGCTGCTCTTCTGTCTTGGATTTCACCACAATGTCATCAATATACACCTCCATGTTATGGCCGATCAGATCATGAAAGATGGCATTCATCGCCCTTTGGTAGGTTGCACTAGCATTCTTGAGCCCGAAGGGCATGACCAGATATTCATATGCCCCCACATGTCCAGGGCACCTAAAAGCTGTTTTATGTATATCTTCCGGAGCCATCTTTATCTGATTATACCCGGCATTTCCATCCATAAAAGATAAGACTTTGTTTTTTGTTACCGCATCTATGGAAAGATCTGCCATAGGCATAGGATATTCGTCTTTAGATGTAGCGCCATTAATATTCCCATAATCAACACAACATCGTACTGCTTTTGTTACAGCTTTTAAAACGGGTACAATGTTGGCTAACCACTCCACATATTTGGCTGGCCTGATAAATCCAGCTTTTACGAGCCTTTCAATCTCTTCTTTGACCTTCTCTTCTATCTCATTTGACATCCTTCGTGGTGCTTGCTTAACTGGCTTATATCCTTCCTTGATGGGCATTCTATGTTCCACCAAGGTTGCATCTAAACTCGGCATCTCAGTGTAATGCCAAGCAAAACAATCTCTGAATTCTTGCAAGAGACAGATAATTTGTGCCCGATCTTCTTTCTCCAATAAACCACTGATTTGTATTGGTCTTGGGTCCTCATTTGTTCCTAGCTCAATAACTTCCAAAGGATCTTGGACCTCCGGTGGTGGCTTATCAGGTTCTGTACACAAAAATGCAACTAGCTCCGAGCTCTTGGGCAAGTCGTCTGGTTCATCCAGGTCATATATACATTCAGCCATTTGAATGGCCCTATCTAATTCTTTTTGACAAGATTCCTCACTGCTTTCATCCTGGCTGGTTGAAGTTTCCACCTGCCATTCCTGCTCTTCTCTGTCTAAGAACTCTTTTTCTTGTCTTCTTTATTTCCCATACACCAACAGTCGTTTAATCAGGGATCTGACTGCCATTACCTGATCTTTCCTTGTTTGTTTTATCATTGATGGTGTAGGGGTGTTGGGATAATAAAAGGTCTATCCCACTCCTCTTTAGTAAGGAGCATTCCTTGTTCTAGAAGCTTTTGGGCCGTCACCTTGGTAGGGCGGCCGTTCTTATCTGCTCCCAAACACTTCAAGATTCCTACGTTGGGATTGTAGAAACTTGCTTCTGCTATATTGGCTGTGGGAAGAAATGGCCGTGATTCGGCCTCTACCATCTCCCAAAAGCCTGGCTCTTCTGTGCTTGCTTCATGATACACAGCCACTTGTTGATGTAGGGTGGAGGGCACCGCAAGACTTTGGTGGATCTAATCCCTTCCAAGTAAGGCTCCATAGATGGATGTGCAGTCCACCACAAAGAACGCCAGCATGATCTGTTCAGACCCCAGATCTACTTCCAAAGGCAATATCCCAAGAGTCTTAGTGATAGCGCCCGAAAAACTAGAAACTGTGAGGTCTGTAGGAATAAGATCTTCTGTGCCTCTCCCCAACTTCTTCATCTGCTTAGCTGGTAATACATTAACAGCTGCCCCTCCATCAATCAACATCCTTCTGAAGGGCACCCCCTCTAAATGAGCTGTCACATATATGGGTTTCAGATGATTGACAAGTGAAATATTCGGGCGACTGAACACCATTTTGTCTGTATAGATCCTTACAGGACCTTCTTTGGATGTTTCAGATGATGCAGCTTTTCCCGATGCTCCTTCTTCTGCTATCTCCATATTAACATGAGCCATCATTGGTTCAGTTGTGACATAATCTCCTTCCATGGCGGCGGGCTGATCAGGTTGGGCAACAAACATAGCAGACAGCACATATGCCATGTTTATATGAAAGTTGCTAGGCTTTGACAGTTACTCTTTTTTGCTCCCAATCTGGTCCATGAATTCATCCAACCATGCCATAGCATCTAGTGGAAGCAGTGGTTCTGGTGCCCCCTCGAGTTGATTCACACCTGGACATGGTGTTTGTTTTGGAACTTCTCCGAAGGGATCCCCCAATGATGGAGAAGGTTGTTTTTTCTCAGGGGAGAGAGTCCCAAAGCAAATAGGCTGCTCTGCCTTCCATCCGGGAGTTGGTACCATAACCATATCTTCTTGAGCTCTCCTCAAGATTCTATATTTCCCAGGGTGCAGGCTTTGTGGCACATGATCTCCTTCGCCTTCAATTTTGCTGTTAGCCCTCTCCACTTCCTTCTTACTTCTCCAGCAAAGCTGACTGCTTCCTTCAGACGACGTTTTCGCTACCTTTTGATTTTTTGAAGCTTTTGACGTCGCTGGGGTTTTCAAGGAATTCATGTAGGCTTTATGTTACCTTTGAACCCTTCTGACCATGGAGGCTCCCATTTGCTTAACGGGCTGTCCGTTCTTCCCGACCACATACCATTTTCGCCCGAGGCGGGCAGGATTATCTTTTGTAACAGGGTTTGTTATCCTGTCATTCCGCCTGACCTCTCTTCCCATATGGCCGTACTGAGAGTGTCCTGTACTTCTTTCTTTTGGCTTCTTGGCATCTTTATCCTCTGCTTCCTTAGAAACTTCATGGTTACGAAAGATTTCTGATAAAGCCCTTGGTTGGGAATCGCCTCCTAACCGCTGAAAGACACTTCGGGAGGTATCTCTTCCTGCAGTCTGCCGAGCCTTCTCTTGTGCCTCTTTTCTCTTTCGCTCATCATTCCTTCTGATCAATTCATGATCTATGAAGGTTCCAGTGGGTGGTATTTCGAGCTCACACTCGCATTGGCACTTACTGCACAACACTCTTCCTTTGAATATGGCGGCTTTTGGATATTCGGGCAAGTTAACCACCCCCTTTATGGGTTTGTCAATCAATCTTCTTTCTTCCTCTCTTGTGACCTTCTCTTTTCCCTTCTCTGCCCAGGCCATACTGATCATATTGATAGGGGCTTCTGAGAAGGGATCCGTATGTTTATTAGTCACCGCAACTTCTTCTAGTTGATTGGTTTTAAGCCCCCTTTTATCCCTATCACTTTTCTCCCCAAGATGAGGTAAAGACATAGGAATAGGTGGTCTGAGAACCGGATTATCTTCTTTTCTGGAGCCTGCAGGGGTGTTCTCCAGTCTTTGTAGCATGTGCAACAAAGCAGTTTGGAAATCTTCTGATCCTCTTTACATATTGCTTTGATCAGCGTATCCCACCGGGCGTGCCAAAACTATGTTCGTGGTTGAAATTTCCCGTGGGGGATGCTTCCTGTCCGACGAGCACACAGCTCCCCGAGAGGTTCGGCGCCGGTTGATGCTTTTCTGTCGGGCTCATGCTTTACTGGCAGGCTTGTCGGGCAAGGCTGAAAGAGAAGGACAGAGTTAACTTTGAAAGGTGCATTCGTGAGGCCTTAGGTGTAGGCCTTAAGGCTCATGATCAAGATTAACCTATAAGTGTTCAGGCGTGCCACTGCCATCTTCAGTATGGCAGATGTAGAACGGATGTTTGAGTTTAATTATATATTCGAAAGACCATGTTAGTTATTGACAGGTGCCTTTATGGGGCCTTAGGTGTAGGTCTTGAGGCTTCCCATTAATAACTAACTTAATATTTGAACATATAAGGTTCTTTTTATTGGTTATGTAGATCTTATAACCATCATACTTCTGATTACCCGAACTTAAAGAGCAGAATGGATCCAAATAGGTGCCTTTGTGGGGCCTTGAATAGGCCTTGAGGCTTTCCATTAGAACCCCTTCCATTCTCAATGTTCTTGCCCGAGAAACAGGATGAATCCAAATAGGTGCCTTTGTGGGGCCTTAGGTGTAGGCCTTGAGGCTTCCCATCAGAATTCATCCCGTCCCCGAACGTTATATGGTAATCATGATATCACAGCAATAAAACTAAGTGACAGGTCAATTACTTGCGCCCCAAGTAACTTCGGACTTCTTGTTATCAAAGCTTGTAGTGGATGGGTTAAGTCCACATCAGGTTCTTTTTTATGCCTTGAGGCCAAGGACTTTTAGGGTGATCAAATCTTATATGCCCGAGGGCTTAGCACTTAGATCCGACTTGAACTGTGGAGACATATTCAAATCGGATCTAAGCACTGAGAGAATCTTTTGATAGCCATATTACTAGAAATAACTTGGATATAACTTGTAGTATACAACATATTGCTAGGCTAATGAATACACAGACAAAAACAAAGAGGGTCGGGCAAGGTTTAACCTTGTCGGGCAAGGCTGATCGTCTTGCAAGAGGTTTGAAAGCTTAGAAAAAGGGTAGGGAGATGAGTTTACAGGAGGAATCAATACTACAGCAAGAGTATATCAGGGTAGCAGAGTTATTACAAAAGGTTTATCCCGAAAGGGATGAAGGCTTGGGCTGACTACAACTTCGTTTTGAAGGCAAATCTGGCTTTGAGCAGAGTTTGTGCTTGTATTTGTTTGTTTAAGTGTCCTTGATTCTGACCTCTCCTACTCCTTTTATAGACACCTTGGCTTGGCACCCTGTAGCAACAATCTTGCCCGAATGCAATTTGAAGGGTAGTGACTCATCAGCCATTTTACTTGCACTGCCATATAAAAGTACTTTTTTGGGCTGGATAGTTGGCTGGTCTATACCACTTGGCCTTTAGGTAGGTAAGCAAGTGATCTGCATGGTCTGCACCTAGTCAGAAACGGGCTTCTCCTATCTTCTGGACTTCGGCTAGGTTCTGACTGGGCCTCCGAGTACCTTTCCCCTTTAGGCTGCTCTTTGGGCTAACTTCCCCCAAGCCCAAAGTTTTAAGTTTTGATCCAAACAGGTATAGTATTCTAGAATTACTTAGTTATGCTGGTCTTTTATTTCTATGGATTGCCATAGCTCCTTTCCTATATTTGTCTTCTTGTACATGTTCCACTCATGTTTTAAAAGAAACTATTGCTAAACCTATTCCAACTTATATGTTCTATATTTCTAAGAATTTTCCTTTCCTATGATCTAAGAATCAGACCTTATGCATTCTTACTGTTTAATGCTGAGAGTTTCTATTTTGTTATATTATAATGGAACCAATGCAGGTTTACTTCGACTACTTGAGGAGCTTTAGAGTTGAATTTGATGAGTTTTTTTAGGAAGGAATAATATCAGAAATTGAAGTTGGATTAGGTCCGTGTGGAGAGCTACGGTATCCTTCTTATCCTGAACAGCATGGTTGGAAATATCCTGGTATTGGTGAATTCCAGGTACCTTAATTAATGGTGATCCCTCCTTTCATTAGTGGCATGCATAATAGCTAGGGACTAACGGTTATTTCTAAATATTAAGTTAATAGCCCTTCATTCATCTGTGGTTATATTTTATTACGGAAATCTATTGGTTTATATTATTTGTAGCAGTCCCACAAGATCTGCTTGCAGTCAAATATTAGTATTGATTTTTCTTTTCTTTTATGCCAGAATGTGTGGTATAAATTCATTCTGGATTGGTTTGTATTGAAAGTTTGTAACTTTGATTTTTGTGTTTTAGGGTTTACTCATGTGTATTATGACTTAATAAATGGCCACTGTGCAGACGCAAGTGTGCTTAAGTGTGTGGTTAACTGTTTTTTATATGCTTTGTGTTCTTAGGATTGGCATGTTTAGTTGTTTTGTTTGGGGTTCTTGGGGTCAATCACTTTCATTGTTATTAGACTCGGGGGGTTTATTTCATTGGAGAAAAAGAATACATGTGACTGTTTGCCTAGGTGTATATACAAATTTACAAATACATGAATTTTTTTATTGAATGTAAGAAAGCGGTGTTATTTGATTGAATAATGAACCCCTAACCGTAGGTTATCCTGTATTTTTCTTATCAATATTGTTCTCATGGCTTTATGTATTCTTGATATTATAGTGAAAATTTGAAGATATTGGATTGGGGGGAGGATGGTATTGCCACAGCAGCTGAAGCTGCTGCTCTTTGGGCGTCGTTTCAGCAAGAGGTTGCTGTTTGGCATAAGTTTGACCACCCAAATATCCCAAAGGTATAATTAATATATATTGGTTTTTCATCTCAGTATGCATAAAGTCACAATAGCTTCAGATGAAAACTTTGATACCGTTTGTTGTCCTAACAATATTTTGGTTATCAGCACTGCTAGGACATGCAATTGCATTTTAATTGTTCTTGATGCAATAAAGCCAATAACTCACAAGCGCCTAATTGAAAAAGAGCTCGAGGGATTTGGCCAGTCAGCTATAGCTTTATTTCTGGTCTGTAATTTGTATAGCTTTGTCATTTTGTTACTTCAGTTTAGTTGATCTTAAGGCAATTTATGCATTGTGTTGAATTTATTCTACTTAAATGTGTTTCATTCATCTGATTACGCCTGAAATAGATGGTTTTTGCAGCAACGTGCGGGCGTGTTTCTAGTGAGATCTAAAGAGAGGGATCGCAGGAGGGGGAAAAAAAGAGGAGAGAGGTGGAAAGAAAGAGGATTAGAGGAGATAAAGGGGTGGAGAGAAAGAGAAGAAAGAAGAGATAAAGAGGAGAGAGAAGAAAGAAAAAAATAAGAGAGAATGAAGAGAGTTTAGAGGAGAAAGAATAAAAGGGAGAGGAGAGAAAAAAAAAAAAGAGAAATAGATTCGGAGTGAGAGGTTATTGCTTACCCATTGTGAGGTTAAATTTTCTCCTCTTTCCTTAGTGAAGATAATATTGTCTATTAAAAAAAAAACTCTAAAAGCTCGTTTTTTGTGTTTTTAGATAATAAGCTATTTTTTAAAATTAGTCTTGAGTTCAATTTTTTTTTTTTTAAATTAGTCTTACCACAAAAAGTTGAATTCAAATAGAGTATCAAACATGCCTCTTTAAGCGATTAAGGTCAAAACTATATCCGAGGGATCTTAAATGGTGATGTGTTTGTTACAACAGAGATTAAATCGTCCATTACAGAATGGAATTCTTTGAAGGAATATATGAGCCCATAAGGAATTTAATATAACTTGTACAATATGGACGTGGAAAGAAATATTGGGAATTAACTAACAGTTGGAGACGATAAGATTTGGGATTTTCCTCCTTTAGCTAACTAGATCAAAGAAATCAACAATTTTCGAACAAAAAAAGAATCACTAAAAATGGAGGTCCAATTTTTCGAGTTGAAATTCCGCCAAAAGGATCGTCATTTTCACAATTCCAATGTTGAGAGTTGAACATGGGTTTTTATAGCTGCTACTCGTGCTTCCTTTTTTAAGGTTAATCTCAATTTACTATCTTGAAGTTTCTTGATTTTCAACATTTGGTACATCAAGCTTTTTTTCATCTAGAGCGGTATTTGAAGTTATAATTTTGGGACACTTTCATGCATCCGTTAAGAATGTTATTAAATTAGCCGTTAACTGATAATGTGGCATCCATGAGAACAATGATTGGACATCATATGTCAATATGGGCCCATGTGGATGTTCAAATTTTTTAAAAATAATTCTTGTGCATTCCCCCTCCCTCTTTCCCTGCACATCCTCCCTTTTCCCCAATCTCTTCCCCTGCACACCCTTTTGGCAACTTTTAGATTTTGGTCTCAATTTTCTGGGAATCCAAACAGGAAAAGAGGGATAGAGGGATACGGACCAGAGGGAGAGAAGGATACTCAAATCCAAGTCTTCACCTTCCCACATCTTGAAGACGCCACCCAAGTCCTTAGCATCTCCGTCTTCCTCTTTGCCGCGAAAGCTTTGGAGCTTGGCCGCCATCTTTCCCTGGGTTTGCAATGCCATCGTCGAGCAAAACAGGTCAAAATCGACGATAGCAGGGAGGACGGTGGAAGGGGACTGTCACTACTACAAAAGGGCCTTATAGTGTTAGTGGGTGATGTCGGTTTAATATAATATAGTGGTGGACAAGACATTTACGACAGCAACTGAACATGACGTCAGATTTATTGTCGCTTGTAAATGTCATAAATTGTCTATGTCGCTTTTAACTGACATAAACATTTAATGTCGCTTATAACCAACATACATTTTAATAATTTTTAAATACTGGTGTCGCTTTAAATAAAACAGTGTTGCTTTTAAGCGACATAACGTATATGTCACAGCCCGTCCCGGAGGTACTTTTGACGGGAATATGAAATGACGGAATTACCCTTGACGGGTATTAAGGTATGTGTGTGTGGCTTGTTATTTGGACTAAGTAAATACTTCCTAAACTATTGGATTAAAAGTTACATGTATTTTTGTGGTTAGGGAGTTAAATAAAATGGATGGTGATGACTTGGGATGAACCACACATGTCAAACCTCTTTCTCTCTCTTTCCCGTACCCTCTCTCTCTCCTCCCCCACGACTCTCACTCTCTCTCTCTCACCCTCGAACGTACGGACGAAGCCCAAAACCCTCGAACTTCCTCGGATCGACGCCAAAAAGGTATGAATCTTCATCCTTTCAAGCTCCTGAGTCGATTGGTGTTGGTTTTAGGAAGTGAAACCTTCGAGATCACGTGAAACCCGAACCTCCATTTTATGTCACTATTCATGCAATCGTAATATGTCGATTTTCAGGGAATTCTAAGCTTGTAGTGAGCTTAGTGAGGTCCCAAGGAAGCTCGGAGTGCTTCGTTTGAAGGTTTTGGACGTCGGGATCACTGGGTTCAACTTTGGCCAGTTTTCTTGGAATTTTTCCGGTGAGATTTAGTGATTTTTAGACCTTGAAACTAGTCTATCGTGAAACTACATGTTTAGGGCTTCAAATTGATGTAAATTTCGAAGAAAATGGTTGAGAAACGAGGGAGAACAAGGCAATTGAAAATTGCCCAGTTTTCCGGCCACCGGAAAGTTCAGTCCGGCGAGCTCGCGAGGAAGAAGACGCGCTTGGGCGCGCGTGTACCCGTGCCTGTCCTTGGCGCGTGGGGGCGCGTGACAAGCCCAAAATTAATCCTAAAAATTTGTCGACGTTCGTGACGTCGAGTAGGTCACTGTGGTATATTCATATACCCAAATTGAGCACCGTATGAGAAGTTATTGAGAATTGTTGGTTATATGCTTTAAATAACGTTTATATAGTATTCACTGCGGCGGCCCGTGCGGCGGCGCGTGGCCAATGGCCCGCCAATGTCATTCTTAGCATGTGTTTAAGGTTCTAGGTTCAGTTTTGATAATTGTTGGACGTAAATTGAGTAATTGAACCTAAGTTGGTTACGATTCGTGGTTAGGAGAAAATGTGAATTTACGATCCCACCGTCGGATCATCACCAAACTTTGATATGTTGTAATACGTAATATTTGAGGATTATACGAACTTACGGATTGGGAATCCGAGTTACGGATCTTCCGGAATTGGAGTTGTAAGTTCATAAAATAGAATGTTAACCGTCACTTAGTTTTGGAAATTGACGGAGATCCGACCGTTGGATGGTAATGAAATTTTAGGAAGTTGTCCTAGAGGTATATTGTGGACCTCTGGAAGTTATGGATTTGAAATCTGAGTTGCAGATCTTCCGGATCGAACTGCGTAGTGACGTGTTTATATAAGTTATATATTCTATCGATATGATTTCTGAGATTGGATTTGATTATTGTTTTAGGCGCCGATCGTCATGACGCCTTGACGTATTGTGCTAGGGAGTTGTAGGGCGAACTCCAGGTGAGTGGGTAGTTTTGTTTTCGTATTACCTATATACTACTGTTTTTCCCAGAAAATGCAATTATATGAAAATATGTTTCAAAAATGCCATGCATGCATAATATGAATGATATGAATGATAAGAGTTATACAAATTGATAATTGATGCATATATATGTTAATTGACGCTGTGGATGCACATGTGAGTTTTTACATTATTCATACGATTTATTTTATGTGAATTGCATTGGAAGCTCATAACCTGCACCCTAGGTGTTAGTGCTTATATTATTCACCACACCGCACGCTCGCCTTGGATCCAAGTAGGTGGATGTCGTACAGACCACTAGAGGTGGTTCCGACATGCCAGTCGTACAGACAATTAGAGGGGTTCCGACTGGTAGGTGACCTTAGATTATGTGCACAGATGATTGATGAGAGAAGCACTAGAGCGTATTATTTCACCATCTTAGTCGTACAGACTACTATAGGTAGTTCCGACTTATGTGCAGTGTAGTGCCGTACAGGTCACAGTTGGTGACTCCGGCAGGGCCGTACAGGTCACAGTTGGTGACTCCGGCTGGATGGGATATTGAGCTATAGAATCAGTCATACAGGACCACGGTAGGGTCTCCGGTTGATTTATTATTTCACCTGATTTATATTGATGCATTCATATTATATTTTGGCATGGCATGGCATATTCTTTTTGAAATGTTATGTTGATAGATGGTGAGCGGAGTTTTGATGATTTATATATTTATGTTTTTATAATAATTTCTGGGAAAGTATACAGGTTTTACGGCGAGGGGTTAGAAATGTTTTAAATGAAAGGTTTTCGAAAAACTTTGTTTTACTGACCCACTCAATTTTGTTTTGCGCCCCTCCAGGTTCTAGATAGCAGAGCTTTGGTGGCCACGAGGAATCCAACGGTGTTCTGACAGAATTCACAAAAGTAGGACTCACCCTCGGGCGTTTCGTCTTAGTAATTGTATTTTTAAAGCTTCCGAACTGTGTAAATGGTTACGTCACTCTCACGTGACGGCCAGCATGCCCTCCTTCGGGATGGGGTGTGTCAGTATAGGTGTCGCTTCTAGTCGACACTAATTATTGTTTTTAAATATTTTAAAGCCTGCGTTGGTTTTGAGCGACATAGATTGTAGTTTTTTTTTAAATATTTTGAAACCGGATGTCGGTTGTAGCCATCACTAATAATATTTTTATATATTTTAAAACCCGATGTCGTTTTGTTATCTACCAAATTCATATATACTTAAGTTAAAAAAAATTAAAAAGGCGGGTCACTAAACTTTTGCAAAATTTCAAACATTTTGAAATTTGAAATTTTCACACCACTACTCCCGCACAAAATTCTAAATATAAAGGAAGAGAACACAACCCCTTCAGCAAAGAAGCTCCTTCCTTGTAGCCACAACAGTAACAGCAGCAATCGTCGTTTCAAATTCAACAGAGCCCAGACTGTGCTCCTGCCCGTTAGGATGAAGGTCGTCGATCCCGAGTTTCAGAATTTGAGGGGCCGCCGAGTTGAGGCAGAGGACTGTCATTGGGAGTGCCAGGGGAGTCGTGGAAGAAACGGAAACGACGTCGTCTCGTATTGAAGGCGAGGCCAAGGAGGAAAGTGTGGCGGAGGGCGGTTCGGTGGGTAAGCAAAAGAGTGAGCCCAATGGGAACACGATCCCAAAATTGCAGACCGTCGAGTCATTGGATTAGAAATGGCTCATGGCCGAAGATCCAAATTGTGAGTCCTTTTGCTTTTCCCTCATGCAATTTCTGTGTACAATTTCTTCAAATTTTGATATTTATTTTGGCTTCTTCTCTCAGATGTATTTTCTGTGGACAAGTCGCCAGTGCAGTACTTCATGGAAGAGATGTCGATTGGCAATTCATTGCGGAGCACAACCACCCTTGGCAATGAGAAGGAACGAGACCAACAAATATACTTGTTTTGAAATCTAAGATGTAGGAGGCAAGGGAAAGGTGACACATAGAAGCAAAATAAGACGCAAGCAACGTCGATTTACTAGAAACGGTGAAGAGAAGAAGGTGAAGATTGAGAGAGGGTGAAGAAGAGGATGAAAAAGAAAGAGCTATGGAAAGAGGAAAAAAAAAACAATTATTAGGTGGTGCGCTTATGGGCGACATTATAGTGGTTATTTTATTTATCCCATTATCAGGTGGTGTCAGTTAGGATTGACACTAGTCTGTTCCATTCCACAGTCATTGTCAGTACTTAATGTAACTTGTATCCGACGCAATCTTCGATGTCACTTTTAAGCGATGCTGTTTTTCTTTTTTATTTTATATTACTTTGCTTCTTGGTGGCGGATTAAGGGGGCTAAGCGACGTTAATACCCTTTTTGTGACGACAACATTGGTGTCGATTCCTCTATCCGACATTGCATGATTTAATGTCGGATTTTTACCAAAAATCCTACAGTAATTGGGGCTTCTTGTCGGTTTTAACACCGCCAGTAATATCCCCTTTTGTAGTAGTGGGTGTCGCGTTTAGAGAGCGGGGAGTCGAAGACGAAAGGAGGGTTGGGTGGGTGGAGTCGAAGAGGGAAGGGTGGATGTGCGGGAAGTCGAAGAAGAGAGAAGGGTTGGGTGGGTGCAGAGGAAAGAAGGGAGGGAAGAGGGAGGGTCGGGGGTGAGGTAAGAGACGGCCCAAAATTTTTATTTATTTTTATATTTTTATTATTTTTAATTAATTTTTAATTTTTTTACTATTTATGTGGACCTATATTGACACGTGGTGCCCAATCATTGTTCATGTGGGCGCCATGTTATCATTTAATGGCTGATTTAACAGCAACCTTAACGGATGTATGAAAGTGTCCCAAAATTATGACTTCGGATACCACTCTGGGATGAAAAAACTTGATGTATCAAATGTTGAAAACCAAGATACTTTAGGGTAGTAATAACCACGGAGGTGCATGGGCCTAATCCAATGAATTATGTTAATCCATACTTCTAGTTTATACATCACACTTAAATACTAATAATGTTCACGAATAGATGATTAATTTGATATAAAAACAAATAATAAAAATAGTGACGTTAATGTTGAGAATAAAATCTCACAATGAAGAAAGTTAAGATTCCACCATAAAATCAATTAATAATATGAGAAGTATGCTCAACTCCTTATAAAACCATACAAAGTTCTTTCCTCATCAATGTAATTTATTCTCATCACACTCCCTCACGTGTAGCGATTTTTCAAGTCAAACGCGTGGTCAACACAAACAAGGTGAAGTGGATCATAGCTTTACACGTGGGACAACCTCCTGCTATGATACTATCAAGAAAGTTAGAGTTCCACTATTAAATCAATTGGCAATATAAGGAGTAGTCAAACTTACTTAGAAGCCCATACAAGATCTATTTTCTTGTCAATGTGATATTCATTTTCAACATTGAATAAGTGTGGCCTTATAACATGGTTCCTGATTTGAAAAATTATTAACACTGCTTACACGCGCCATGTGGAAACCAAATGTACACATTATTGTTAACGACAAGGCATTTATCGGCCAAACCTTGTAAAACCGCGTCATAAAGCCATTAGGTTCGCTAAAGTTCACCTAACAAGACAACTAAGGCAACACGCGGGCGAAAAAAGTCTCAAGAAGGAAGGCAATTGGAAAGCATAATATGCCTCATAAGTCCAATGTTAGTTTTATATATTAGACTTGTATGCTACTTAAATACCTCATGATCCAAGCATGACTCAAAATAATGATTATGACTGATTTATTTTCCAAATGTTACGTATACTCTTTGTACGTGATCTAATCGTTGAAATACGATTTTAGAAGTTTTTAGTCATACAACGTTTTAGTTGGCCTATTGTATTTTGAAGGGGACACATCAACATAAATGGTTATAGAGTGTAATGCTACATGTACAACGTACCTTACTATAAACTACATCACTAATAAAAACAAGACCAAAAAAAGAGGAAAAAGAAATATGATAATCACTCGTACGTTCAAATAGTTCATTTTTAAAAGAAATCAATACGCATGTCGTTGCCCTATTGACTTCGATATTTCATTAGTATTATTGATACTATCAATATTTCCTATTGTTGCATTAAACTTAAGTTACATGACAAATAATTAACGACATAATATCATTTCATTGAGTAATCAGACTAATCATATGGTTAAGTTGTTTGACCCAAAAATTTTCTAGGAGCCATTCCTTCTGTTTGGCTAATCACAATTCAACATTTTATCTTTCTTCTTGTAAATTTGATAACTTATTTTTGTGAAGATAATAATTTTATTTATGAATCCCTCTATGGTGAATGATAAATAAGAACATAAATCTTTGCCGAATGTGAATTAAATAATACTCAACTCAAGGGATTAAAAATATTTACTTAAACATAAAAAAAGAAAAACGAAGTTAAATTTCAAGCAACCAATTCACTCATGCATTTAGTCAATGACACCACCGATCTGATAAGTGTGAGTTTCTTCTTGTGTCGATGGCATGCCAAAAATAAACGCGCCAACAGCCAGCAGGGGCGGGTAGGCCCACAGTCCGCAGATGCCTGCTAGTCGGCAAGTCGCAGTCGAATTCCTAATTTCCTACCACCAATGCGATTCTTCCAACGGCTCTTTCGCCAGCAAAACGCCACACCAAACCATATAATACAAATACAAATACAAAACCATTCTTTCTTAATCCAAATTAAAAGTCAGGAATTAAAACTCTCTCTGTCTGTAGCCGCTGGCTGGCCTATTCAATCACCCTCTTTACCCATAAATGCCTTTGCTTTCACTTCCAAATTTAACAAGCACACCTCAGTACACATTTACCTCCAAAACAACCATACAAACATCCCCAATACACAACTGAATTGCAGATTATATATCTACCATATATTTAGACTACTCATTTCTGCAATTTCAATGGCTTGCTTGGTCTTGCCAATTTCAATGCTGAAAAAGAGGTGCATGGGGTCACGGCTACATGGCTACCGGCCTTTAGCCGATGATAGGTTCGACGATTCAGAGAATCCAGTGATCGTGGTGGTTGGGAAGGAGAAGAGGGAGTTCTTGGTAGACCCTTTTGTGCTACAAGAGAACCCTTTTCGAGTTTTGATTGAGGCAATGAACAAGGACAAGAAAGTGGAGAATTTTGGTGATGGGAATGGTAAGGGAAGAAGTAGGATGGTTTTTGTGGATGTTGATTCTATTCTGTTCGAGCATATGTTGTGGTTGATGCATAATGATTGTTCTTCTTTGTTTGAGCTCAATCTTAAGGAAATTATAGACTTCTATGCGCAAGATTATTAGGCAGCTGATTATTAGTAGAGGAAAATATGCTGACTGATCTGTCTTGGTGTAAGAAACATTTTATAATCTTAATAATAACTCATCCATATACATATACATACATATATATACATGTGTGTGTGTATCCAACGAGAATTTCCGCAGACAATTAATTGTTCGTCAAATTGAACGAACCAATTCTTCAAATACCTTGTAATACTTTGTTGCTTAAAATGTCTTTTGCAATTGTTTGCTGTATTCTATTTACGTATGCCAAAAGACCTAATTCTGGATATGCCGCTGGACCAGCAAAACATGAAATAGATGAAGATATAAGAAATTATACAAATACCGAAATAAAGAAATTGTAAAATTTAATTGGCTCAACCAAGTATTTTGATAGGTTTTTTTACCACTCGTGCAAAAGGGTTAAAAACACCTATAATACTTGAAAGAATGACAAGGATATTGTAGTATAAATGGTTCCTGCAAGGTCGTTATCCACAAAGATTATTAAATATTTCAAAACAACTCAAAGTCCAATTAATTATTGTAAAGCAAAGATGTGGGATGATTGATTTTATGACCTAATTTAATAAAAACGAATTTAATTAATGAAAGTAGACAAATCTGCAATATTAAAGATGAGGAAAAGGAAACAGTTTTGTAAAAATCAAATTAAGAAAGCACCAGGGATCTGCCGTCACCTTAACAATTCTGTATAGTTCTCCTAATTAATTATGACATATACATGCATATTTTGAATGTTAGGTTTTTCTAATATATGCCTACTTGGACCCCCAATATAGAGTGTATATCAAACATGCAATCTGTCTATGGTATTCAAATCAAATCTAAGATGTGGTATTCATCATAAGTGAAATTGCACATATTAATCACAAGAAGCCTTCGTCAATTTCAGGGACCAACCATCGACCAAAATTGCATTAAATTACTTTTCTAAATATCTTAATGGTCACGAATCATCAAAACACTTCGACAGTATAAATTGGTGATTAATAATTTGAAAACTTGTGTGCATATAATCATAAACAAATTGCAAAGAAACAACATATTCTTGCTAAGGCGTGTGGCCTCACCCTAGCAAAAAGGAAATTAGTTACGCATATTCATAACTAAAATCAACATGAATTGTATTGAAAATAATAAAAGATAGAAAACACCTTGAATGTAAAAGCCTGAAAGTCCCTATGCTTGGCCAATTTCCTCTCTCAAAATCGGACGGAGAAGAAGAAGAAATAGTTAGGGCCGACCAAGCTTATTTAACCTACTAAAATAAATCCTCTTAATACAAAGGTCTTCCAATCGAATTAGGAAACCAAATAAATAAAATAAAATATGAAACATACCCTAAATTAAAAGGGAAAATTCGCCTAAAATCTGTACAACCACGTTTTGGACCCATATTTGCTCCAAAAATGGCCCAAAATTGCTAGATTTAAAGCTTGAAATATTTTGAACACTTTTCCAGAAGGCCACAAACTCATCAGAGGTCATTTGGGCTCCAAAACCTGCAATTAAGCTCAAAACATCATTTTCTAGCACCGCGCACTACTTCTTTATTCCATCGCTAGAAAATAACCGTTTGGTAGAAAAATCCCAAATTTTGACATAAACAAGCCAAGAGACACACAAACGTCCTCCAGTTTGAATCACTCTAAAATTCATCTGTTTTATCACGTTTTTCTCCAGAGGAAGTTGAATGTCCTATATTTAAAATATCAAAATATCAAAATGCTACCAAAATAATTACCAAAACATACTAAGAATAAGGTGAGATATATAATATGAAATTGACTCATCATATTTCATTGATACGTTAGGAATATAAACAGTTTTCCTTCTACAATAGGTAATCCTACAATTTAGGGATTACAATCGCAAATACAAAATCAAGTACAAACCAATTACATGAAAACTTCCTAATTAAGAACATTGACTTTCTTGTTTTCAAAAAAAAAAAAAAAAAAAAAGAACATTGACTTTCTAACACTTCCCCTCAAGTTGGAGAGTGGAGATCATGAATTTCCAACTTGCGTATCATAACCAAGAACTTCTCTTGTCTCAAATAAAGTGACAATCCATTTCAATATGTCATGTACTCTCATGAAAAACTGGATTGGCCGCTATATGTAAAGCCGTTTGGTTACCACAATATAAAAGTGAAGCTTCTGAATGAGGCAATCGTAAATATTCCAATAAAAATCTCCGCCAAGTGAGCTCACAACATGTACCTACCATCGCCCCATACTCAATCTCGGTGGAGGATAAGGAAATGGTCTTCTGCTTTGTGCACCAAGAGATGAGTGAATTACCAAAAAAAAAAAAAAAAAAAAAAAAAACACAATACCAATAGTTGAAACGCTGAGTCCTGGGACAACCAGCCCAATTCGAACCACAATAAGCAAACCAAATTTAATTTATTATCAGACCCCCAAAAAAAATTATTGGCTAGGAGTAGATTTAAGGTAGGCCAACCTAGAGAGCTGCATCCACATGAGGTTGTTATGGTTTATGCATAAAACAACTAAGAACATGTACGGAATAAGTGATATCCGGATGATAAACAGTGAGATAAATTAGCTAGCCCACCGAACGTCGATATTTGGTTGGATCCTTGAGGAATTTGGGTTTTTTTTTTTGTTTTTTTCTTCTTCTTCTTCTGAAAGTTTGACATCTTCCATTAGAAACTTCATTGGTTTAGCTCTCGAAAAACCTTGATCTTTGAGTATTTCAAGTGCATATTTAGGTTGTGAAATAAGATATCTCTTTTGGAATGAGAAACTTCAATGCCCAAGAAATATTTCAAATTTTCGAAATCTTTGATGTGAAAATTAGACCAGGCAATTTTTTACACGACCCGTTAACACAACACGTAAACAACATGCAAATAACGGGTTTTGGGTCAACATGATAACTAATCGGATCGTTATTGGGTCACATGATAAGAACCTGTTAATAGCGGGTCTTTAACAAGTTTACACAAAGGTGACACGTGGGTAATCTGTTTTGACACGTTAAGAAAAAAGTTATTTTGATTATTTTAATTTTTTAAACTACCAAAAAAAACTTATTATAAAATACAATGGCCATAGTGTATATGTATTTATTGTATATTAAATCTGTACTATTATATAAATTTAAAATTTTTAAATTTAAAATTTTTTTTTTTTTTATAGTGTACTATAGGCAAAGAGTGTGTGACAACCGGTCCCTACTTTTACGATTTTATTAATTTTTAAAAGCGTGAATTGACAAAAATGCCCTAGAGGTGAGATTATTGACTTTGGTTGACCGTTAGTTCATGACGTGTATGAACTATTACTTTATCATATTCCAGAAGTACTCGACGAGGCGAATGCGTAGACGCAAGCATAATTGAAATTGGAACCACAACGAAGGTTTTATGGAACTATAAATCCAAAAAGTACTTTTGTAAAGACTACTATTATTATTTTATATATTTCTCATAATTACTATATTATTATTTTAACCTTATTTTGTTATTATATTATTATTTTAAAGTTGAGAGAAATGAGAGTGATGAACGGAGAAGAGAAAGGAAGGATGCGAGTTTCAGGAGGAGAAATAATGGGGGTGGTGGCGAATCGGGAGAGGAGAGAGTAAGAGGCTGCCCAATGGAGAGAGAAGGAAAGGAGGGGAAGGGAGAGAGTGAAAAGTACCGGATTTTCCCATCCTCACCTATTTCTCCTTACAACCCGATTGCAACCCGAAGGGTTGCATGATTTTTGACGGGATTTTCATCGAATTCTCCGGCAAAAATAGGCAAACCACCACCACCATACACCTCAGAGCCATCCACGCTACCAATTTCATCCAAACCCGACTGGGTTTAACCCTAGTTTCGAGAAGAACCGCACCGATGGGTGCGACAAACACCCGCGACAATCCACGCAGTTCTGAAATGCGTACCTTCAATCACCACCACGAAAACAATTCTCTGGAGACCAGGAACAAAACCCAAACAATGGTGGAGGCGTTGGAGCGCGTATGAAGGTCGATTCGAAGCACACCCAAAACTAGGGTTTTGGTCGTTCATGGGAAAATTTAGGCATTTCCCAGCCTAATTGGAGTATGAAAGATGTTCCCCTTGACTTGTTGTACATTTGTGTGAAATTTGAGAATTTTTGGAATTAGTTGAATTTTCCGGTGAGTCGAGGTGGTTGGCCGCCGCGTGCGGCGGCACTTGGGCCGAGACCTCACCTAACCTTCCTAGGCTAATTTGGATGCCCCAATTCCATATTTGACATCCGATTAGCGAAATTCCATTGTTTCTGTATAATTTCGCTAAGGTCCACCACTTGAACATTATAGCAATCAACGATCCGACTGTTGGATCGGCACCAAGTTTTAATACAGTATAGTACGTAATATTTAAGGACCATAGAAACTTATGGATCAAGAATCTAATGTATGTATATTCCCGAATTAGATTTGTAAGTTCGTAAAATAAAACGTTGATCGCCACTTGAATTGTGATCGGCGGAGATCCAACCGTCGGATCGTGGTAAGATTTTAGTGTGTTGTTTGAGAAGCATAATTTGGATCTTTGGAAGTTACGGATCAGAAATCCAGGTGCGAATCTTCAAGATCGAGTTACGTAAGGTTGTGGACCCTACCGTCGACCTTTGATCGATGGTTGACTTTTGGTCAATGGGTTTCAAATCATTCTAGAATGTCATTGGGGATATGTTTTATGTAAGTTACTTGTTCTATCGATAAGAATTATGAGACGTGATTTGATATTTGTTCTAGGCAACGATCATTCGTGGCGCCTTGATATTCGTGCGAGTTGTAGTGCGGACTTCAGGTGAGTGGGTCATTTCTTTATATATATATATATTGGTTAGTTTCCATATATACAAGCATTAATAAATTCTTTATGCGATTACCATGATTAAATTAATGTTTATAAGAAATACCTTATTATTGGGAAATGATGAAACAATCTAATGGGATGCACATGTAAGCTTACTATAAGGAGATGCCTTGATTATATTTATGGTCATGAATAGTATGATGTTGATTAGAATTGTTGAATGGCTGTGGTATGACTATATTGATGTTATCTGCTTATCATTGCTGCACCCGGTGTTAGTGCTCACCCAGGGCCAGGGCCAGTTTTCACGTGTATGTTCACATCCGCACCGCACACTCACCTTGGA